GGAAGAAAAGTTATGACCAACCTAGACAGCATATTAAAAAGCAGAGACATTACTTGGCCAATAAAGGTCCATCTAGTCAAAGCTGTGGTTTTTCCAGTAGTCATATGGATGTGAGAGTTGGACTGCAAAGAAAGCTGAGTGCTGAAGAATTGATACTTTTGAACTCTGGTGTTGGAGAAGACTCTTTGAGAGTCCCTTGGACTGCAAGGAGATCCAACCAGTCCATCCTAAAGGATATCAATCCTGAATATTCATTGGAAGGGCTCATGCTGAAGCTGAAACTCCAATACTTTGGCCACCTGATGTGAAGGGTTGACTCATCGGAAAAGATCCTGATTCTGGGAAAGATTGAAGGTGGGAGGAGAAGGGGGCGACAGAGGATGAGATGGTTGGATGGCATCACCGACTCAATGGACATGAGTTTGAGTAGGCTGTGGGAGTTGGTGATGGACAGGGAGGCCTGGTGTGCTGCAGTCCATGGGGTCACAAAGAGTCAGACCTGACTGAATGACTGAACTGAACAGAGTGCATGATAAAATACTTTGAGAATTCAGGGGAAAGACAGGAACGAATAAAAAGATGTTTGAAGATACACAGGTGTTACAGGCAGAGTTAGTGAATGACCTCTGAGGTAGTTGAGGTTCTGTTAAATAGTATGGAAAGCCAGATGTAATCAGGTTGGTATCTTGATGAATAAATAGGGTGATACTGCTTTTAACTGACAGGAAAAGAGTACCTTTTACACTGTACATTCCAGTGTGACAAGAGTCTCCACATACTCACGTGTTTTGGGAGAAAGTAGGACTTTATAGGGGAATTTGACATTTTGAAAAAAGGTGTTAGATGATAATTGCTCTTTAAAGCTGATTTGAGACTAACAACCTTCTGAAGATTCTTTTTGTACATAAGTATTCTTAAATCTTGGCTATCTTTGTTGAACTATATAGTCTTGTAGGCTTGACTAAAGATCACTTCTTAATTTGTGAGTTGAGAAATCGCCGTCTCAACAGGCTGAGACTTTCGTGGCCTTCGGGAAACCCTTTCCTTACATTCATGTTCAGCGTTTTATTTTACAAATAGGGAAGGACCCAAAGTCCATAGATTTCTTGCCTGTGACTTGGGTTCTTTCCTGTGAATGCATTTCCCCACTCCAGGGGAGAAAGCTGAAAGAGGGCAGTTGTTTGTGTAAGTAAGTGTGTTAGTCGCTCAGTCGTGCCCAACTCTTTGTGACCCCATGGACTGCAGCCCACCAGGCTCCTGTATCAATGAGATTTTCCAGACAAGAATACTGGAGTGGGCTGCCATTTCCTTCTCCAGGGCATCTTGCCGAACCAGGGGTTGAACCTGGGTCTCCTGCGCTGCAGGCAGATTCTTACCGACTGAGCTACAAAGGAAGCCCTTGTAGCTTCCCTTGTTGTTTGTGTAGAATACATGAATTAATCTGCTGTTAAAGGTAGAGTGAGGTTGCTTTCCATAACCCTCCCCCCATACTTTTTACTTTCTGGTTAATGTAGTTGATTTCCCATCAGTCAGTTATATTTTAGCCCTCTAAATTGAGTGCGTTTAAGTCAGTGTATTTAATTGGAACACCGTCCTCTATGTAACATCTTCATTTCATTTACTCCCTGTGGGAGTCTACCTGTAACTTTTAAAAACTGGACTCTGCCCAGCTTCTTATGTATAGCTGTTTGTTTAGGCTTTCACCAGGTTAGCACTGCTTTATCTCATTCCCCATTCAGAGTTCACTTTTCAGATTATCTCTTTTTGAATAAATGTAATTTATTGGGTAATCAAGTAAAAAGTTGCCCCCACTGCCAGTTTCCTTGCCTGTCTTTCTGATATAAATTGATGATCCCTGGCTTCATGGCCATCAACTTCAGTGACTGTAAAGGTAGTGGGCAATGTAAAACCTCTTTTGAACTTTGTTACAAAAACTCCAGTGTATTTTGACCTTTCTTTGATATTGATTTGTGTGACACTTTTTTTTTTTTCCCACTTTGGTTATACATCGGTGACAAAAATGGCAGGTGAATAGTGTACTTTATAAATGTGTTGGGAAATGAGGATAAGTAACAAAGTCTCACTGAAGAAAATCTGGAAGTAGAGAAGAAAAAAATGGAAAAATGAGAATCGCCAAACTCAGAAACAATACCTAATAGTGTTTTTTGTCATTGACCTTTGAACAAAACTGTTTTGTACATAATATTTCATTCAGAGGGTATTTTGCCACAGCTTAACATCAGTTGTTAACAGTAGTTTTAAATGTGCATAATTTCCATGTTTTTGTTGTTGTATAAAATTTTACTAGATAAGTCTCCTGTTCCTCAACCTTGCCTATCATTCTTAATAAAAACACTGCGTTTTTTTCCTTCATTATTTTTTAAGGCTGTTTGCCTGCCTGTGTCTTCATTGTTTCACAGAGGCGCTTTCCTTGAGGTGCTTGGGCTTTCTGGTTGGGGTGCATGGGCTCAGTGGTTGCAATGCCTGGGCTTAGTTGCTCTGTGAGATCTTAATTCTCCAACTGGGGATCAACCCCAGCCCCCTGTATTGCAAGGTGGATTCTCAAACTTTGGGCCATCAGGGGAGTCCCTGCTTCATTTCTTTAAACATAGTAAATAAGTCTCTTTATGCATCCGGATCTGTTAATCCTTATTGTTGGAGGATTTTAGGTTTGAGGGAAACTAATGGCACCTGAAATGACTGTGTCTAATTTTGCTTTGTGCATTAACTTTTTTTTTTTAATGAGTTGATTTAATTGTAGGTGGCACAAAATTTAAGGTGGAGCAAAGATTGAAGAACAGACTGCCTGGATTCTAGGCTGGGTTTACTTTGACCTCACTAGGATAGAAATGACTAAGGGAGAACTGAAGGGATAAGCCACTATGTGAACATTTCTTTTCTTGAATGTGCCACGGGCTCCAACACAGCACTTTATTCTAGCTTATTTGTTGTTGTTTAGTTGCGAAGTCATGTCCAACTCTTTTGTGACTCCATGGACCGTAACCCGCCAGGCCGCTCTGTCCATGAGGTTTGGATTTCCCAGACAAGAATACTGGAGTGGGCTGCCATTTCCTTCTCCAGTGGATCTTCCTGGCCCAGGGATTGAACCCACTACTCCTGCATTGGCACATGGATTTTTTTTTTTTACCACTGAGCCACCAGGGAAGCCTTTTCTTCTAGCTATGGGTGGCAAAAAAATTTTATGGAAGAGAATGCAAGTGTTTAAACAGCAGTGGAAGTAAGGATTACCATCACCTGAGGCATAAGGAACAGCTTTTTGCCAGATTTCCAAATTCTGCCTGTGGCCCGGGGCGCCTTCTGCATGGCCTTCAGTTTCAGCTTCTCCAGCTTCTCCGCACCTTTTTGTTACTGCCTGAGAGCTTCGCCTTCCTCTTCATCTTCTTTGCCTGTTTCTTCGGCTGCTTCAAGGACTTCTTGCCACTGCCCCTCCCCCCAGATCCTGGCACTGGAAGCAGTTAGGCATTATCTAAAGATATGTTTTTTTAATATCGACTGAGTTTCAAGACAATCGCAAAAGGAGAAACAGGGAACCTAATACAGCATTATGTAAAAATTGAGTTGGGAGTCACCAGGATTAATTTAATAGAGTTTTATCTGTAGGCTCCTTTATGGCTGGTATCTGATTATTAAAAAGCTTTAGTGATAATGGTGGGCTATCTTTGTGAAATTTTTAAAAGGGGACCTACTTTGAGGGAATTCCCTGGCAGTCCAGGAGGGGCTTCCCTAGTGGCTCAGAGGTTAAAGCGTCTGCCTGCAATGAGGGAGACCTGGGTTCGATCCCTGGGTCAGGAAGATCCCCTGGAGAAGGAACTAGCAACCCACCCCAGTATTCTTGCCTGGAGAATCCCATGGACGCAGAAGCCTGGTGGGCTACAGTCCACGGTGTCGCAAAGAGTCGGACGAGGCTTCACTTTCACTCTTCCAGTGGTTAGGACTTCTTGCTTTCACTGCTGAGGGCATGAGTTTGATCCTTGACAGGGAGCTAAGATCCAGCAAGTTTAGTGCAGCAAAAAAACCCATGTTGAAGTTTATTTGTTAACAGGAATTTAAACTGCATCTTAATTTGCTCAGTAGTTTCACACACACAAATGTGTGTATATATGTGTATTTAAACTAGTGATACTCATATTTTCTCTTTTTTCTTCCCATTTCTCTTAATTCCTAGTGTTATGACTTTTACTGTTTGGAGGGTTATAGACATAAATTATTTACTTTAAATGATGAAAGGTTATGTTTCTATTTTTATTTTTACTGGTTTATCTTTGAGAGTTGGGGCTGAGAGGTACGTTTAAAGTCGCACCTAACCCATTCTGTTCCCTGTTTGCTTGTCTGTATTCCATGATAGATTATAAACTCTGAGGGCTAGAGTCCTGTTCACTGAGGTATCCCACTTAATATGAACAGTGTCTGACATGTAGTTAGATAATTAATAGCAAGAAAGGTTGAAAAGACATACACTAAATGTGAAACACCATTATCTGAGTATTTTAGAGTATTGCTGATTTTTAATGGTAATTATTACAATTTTGAAATAGTGAAACTAATCCCTAGAAGGCAAGAGTATTATATAAAGAAGACAAAAGCTATTACTGTCTTTAAGTGTAATCTCCCAAGTCCTGAGTTGTGCCCTCTGCCTAGTTTTCAAAAATAAACCATTAAAATCTAAGAATGTAGGAGATAATGTTCCCCAAAGGAAAAATATACTATGAGTAAAAAGACTTTATTATGATGCCACCTAGTCTGAGACAGCACTGGACATGCCTCTTTCCCTTGTATTGAGACATAGGGAGATCAAGAAATAGAGACGAAGAGGAAGTGGCAAATGTTGGAGGTTAAAAGTAGTTATTGGGAATTTATTATTTTACTGTTACTTTTAAATAAGTGATTTTATTTTCATTTGAATGGCTAAGAAAATTTGCTTCATAGTATTTAACAAAGATGACTTTTAAGAGTTAATATTCTTATGTTTGTTTCCCTAGTATTTGACATTGTGCAGCAAAGAAATGGTTATGGAGAAGCCCAGTCCGCTGCTTGTAGGGCGGGAGTTTGTGAGGCAATATTATACTTTGCTGAATAAAGCTCCAGAATATTTACACAGGTAAATTTTAATTGGATTATTTACTATTTTTATTTACTTTTATTTTCTGAATATGACTACATATAAATTTTGTGTTTCCTGTCTTCTCGCGTCCTGACAAGTATCTTTACAAAGCTCATCCAATAGTTCAACAATCTGATGGCATAAAACCCATCTTTTTCAAGTTTCCTCCTTGAATGAAATCCACAGTAAAAAAAACACTCCTTATCAGATCCCATTATATAACACATTCACATCTGTACACACACATAAACAATTACATGGTCTGGTATTTTATGTTTCTTTTTTTTTTTTTAAACCACAGACTTGACCAACTAATGGGTTCTAGTCTTGATTGAAATCACAGGTTAAGTTGTTTCGTTTGGTTTTTGTGTGGTTTTTAAAAGTTCTCTGTAGCAGCGTTAGGAAACGAATCAGTTAATTGATTTCATTTGTGAAAATTCCTTCAGATTGATTCACAAGAAAATATTCCTTTGTGAGACGGCAAGAGTAGCCTTGTTTACTATTTTGGCAAGACATGTATATGAGCTTATTTTTTTTCCGGAGACTGAAATGAAATTGATTTATATTATGGGTAGTATTTATAATTTTTGTTCTACCTGGTGTATTTTTTAGTAGGTCGAAGATAAGTGAGGCCTTTGTAAGGATTAGGCTTTGCCGGTGTTTGTTGTAGAACACACTAGCCAGATGAGTTAGGATAAGTGTGTCCTTGCCACTTCGCATGGGAAAGACTGTTAAAGGACTTTTCTCTTTTAGATACAGGTTCTCTTTATAAATGTGCTGGGCATTCTAAAGTTCTGTTTTGCATTGTGCCCTGCTGTTGTTAAACATGTGTGTAATAGTCCCTATATTATTCCAGGAGACATTTTAAGATAACTAACACTGCCCCCCCAAAAAAGAATCAGTACCTGTACATTTTTCTGATTATAAAAATAAAAACATTCCTGTTGATAGTATATGTAAGTTAGGGAGAATGGAATTATTAAGGCTTTTCATTATCTGAAATTTTGTCTCACAGTGTAGGTATTAGCATTTTTAACTTTTTCTTTTTATAACAAGGAAAGACAAGACTCTCTACCATAATTTCAGGCAACAGCACAGACTTCTGTTTTATACTTAGCTTGTATAGCAGATTTCCTTATTCATAAAAAAATTAAGTTTGTTTTAAATTTTTCAGTTACTAACACTGTAGTGCATATCCCTTACACGTGCATTTTTGGGCATCTTTCTAGTTGTTTTCTTAGGATAACTTCCTAGAAAATAGAATTGTTAAATCAAAGGTATGATTTTCTCTAAAACTTTTTCTATGCACACTTAACAGCCAAATTGTCCAAATGAAAACTGTATACATGCTTGCCAGTAGTACATGAGAGAGAACAGTGTAAACATTAAAAAAAATATATGGGTAGTGGTTAAAAGCATGGGTCTGGAGCCAGCTGCTCTGACTTGATAGGTGTGTGACATTTAAGTTAATTTAACCTCTTCTGAACTTCAGTTTGTTCATTTAGATAACAGCACTTATGTTAGTCCTGAGGTTGTTAGGAGACTAGAATGAATCACTACATGTGTAGTGCACTGAGAAAGTTGTCATAGAGGAAGTCTTCCATGTTTTATTGCAATAGGAGCTGAGTTCTCCTTATGAAAAAATTAATTTTGCATATTTGATAACTTTAATTTAGGAAGATCTCCTAGTTGCTTTATGTAGTACCATAGAAACACTAATTTATCATGTACTTAAGAGCAGTATAAAAATATTGAGAAATTAGATGCTAAAATAATATATATATTTTTTAAACTTGATCTCTGAATTATTTCAATTAAGTCTAAACTTTTAACCTTAGCCTTTGGAATTAGTAGTCATTTGGAACTCTTAGTAGAATGAGTGTTAAATAGTATCTGATTCCAAACAGATCTAAATAACTGAGTTTTTACATTTGACAAAAATGGGTAAATAAACAGCAGCATCGGTATTTAGAATATATTTTGAATGTCTCATTTTCCCACTTAACAGCATATAGACACAGTAAGATGAAAATAGCTAAAGACAGTATAACTAATAGCCAGGCACACTAAAAATTCTATGTCATTGCTCATTTAATCCTTACAGTAACTCTGTGGAGAAGTTAACTCTTGTTCCATGTTACCAAGGAAAGTGAACTTGAAGAGTGTAAGTCTCAAGGTTACACAGCTAATCAGTGACAGAGCCAGACCTGGAAACTAACTCTGCTTAATACCAGGACTCTACTCCATCTTAGACTTCTTTCTGTTCATAACTGAATGTTAATCATTATCAATGCTTTTATAGGTTTTATGGCAGGAATTCTTCATATGTTCATGGTGGAGTAGATGCTAGTGGAAAGCCCCAGGAGGCTGTCTATGGCCAAAATGTAAGTGTAAATTTCATATACATTTAAGATTATTTTAACTGATTTAAACTTACTTGAACTTAGTTTAAGTTAAGATTATTTTAAGTTAAGTTAGAGATTTGGAAAATAACCTTCTTGTGCCCATGGATTTCTTCTTGAGTGTGATCAGTTAGCTATGCTAAAATTTATGTTACAATACTTGTCAAATGTGCTTTGAGTTCTTATAAACATTGATTTTTGTAGGAAGCACAGTGTTAACATTGGCATGGATACAGAAGAGAAAATGGGACATTTTTATATCACTGGTGTATTTTATACCTGAAACAGTTGAGACAATGTATTAATATTTATAGAAATGTGGGCTAAACCTTATGTTATAGGAATGAATAGAAGTATATTCCTTATGACTTTGTAGAGAATGTGGGATTTCAGCTAGTCTCTGAATTATAGGATTGACTTTACCAAACAAGAGGAAATTGAAAGAAGAAATGCAGACAAGCAGTAAAGTAAAACCACGTGTGAGGTCATGCAGTAGTCAACATGGTTTATGGAACATGGGTCTGTCAGTAATGCATAGCATGGTGGAATGGATTCAAATGAGGCAGAGAGATTAAGTATTTAGTATTCTAGAGTTGTGAGGAAATTGGTGGAAGTCTGTAGTATTGAATAGGTAACTTAGTGTTAAAAAGGTAATGCAATATCATGAGTTTGTATTTCCTCTCCACCCCCTAATAAAGGATATACACCACAAAGTATTATCTCTGAACTTCAGCGAATGTCATACTAAAATTCGTCATGTGGATGCTCATGCAACCCTGAGTGATGGAGTAGTGGTCCAGGTCATGGGTTTGCTGTCTAACAGTGGACAACCAGAGAGGAAGTTTATGCAGACCTTTGTTCTGGCTCCTGAAGTAAGTTTTCATTTCAATTAACTTTCATTTATGCGACTTCATTTTTCTGTTAACTGGTTGCTTGAAGTGGCTGGTCTCCTCTCACAGGCACAGGTGTGCATGTCACTGTTGTTGAGGAACCTGTTGGACACGTTCATTTATTTGAATTTTCTGTGCTTTGACTGTTAATGAGATCCTGATACAAATGTGCAAATAGATGATTAAGATTACAGAAATAATATTAAAAGTGTGTTATTTAATAGTTTGAAAGTAGTCATTTCTTGAGTTTAAGTATTCTTTGATTTTCTTTATATTAACATTATAGCATGTTCAGCTTTGGAAAGTTATATTCAGTCTACATTATTTCTGTATTAAAATAAAAACTTTATTCTCTCTATGTCATACCACATTTATGGGTATTTATGGAGTATTTGGATTTTTTTTTTTAATAGGGATCTGTTCCAAATAAGTTTTATGTTCACAATGATATGTTTCGTTATGAAGATGAAGTATTTGGTGATTCTGAACCAGAACTTGATGAAGGTGAGATATCTTGAGATTTCAAGATACAAGGGTTTTGTTGGTGTCAGTACTCTTTAATGACATGGAAAATGTGAAACTTACAGAAATTTGACTTTGTAACTGAGTCCAAGCCCCTTTTCTCCTTTTTGTTCTTTTTTTTTGTTTAAAAAACAGATGTTCTTTATATGAAATTTTATAAAAATCATACACAGAAGTGAAAAAAAATCCCTCAATCTCATTCTATATAGATAACCAAGAATTTGGTGCCTACTACAGAATTTTGTTGTATTCTGTACTGACTGACACTTTCCTAAAAGTGGAAGTAGCTGACTCAAAGCTAGGCCTTTTTTTCATCTAATGTGTCTTTGTTGGCTGTTGATATTTTTTTGTCTATACCAGAATTATTTAATCTTATGTTGATATACATCAGCTTGTTTCTGATTCTCTGTCATTATTGCTTCATTGAATTAATATGAAAGGAAACTGAGTTATGACTTTAATAGCATTTTTTCCTACCCTTTCCTTTTCTTACTAATAGATCTTTTAAAAAAATAGCGTAATTCCAAACTTCATCTTGCTTGCTCTTTTTTAAGGGAACAAGGAATATTAAGTGCCTATGTACTTTCAAGAAATAACGCTATTTTTAAACTATTTATGATTTCTTTGAACATTAAAAATACATATATGAAGCTGTGTATTAAGCCTCTTAAAAAGAGATGTGGTGTATTATGTGTTGTCAGAATCAGAAGATGAAGTAGAGGAAGAACAAGAGGAAAGACAACCATCTCCAGAACCTGTGCAGGAGAATGCTAACAGTGCTTACTATGAAGCTCACCCTGTGACGTAAGAATAGTGCTTGCAAGGCAAAATTTGGCCTAAACTATTCATATCATGTAGTTGCAAGTGGTTTTTGTTCCTAGAATTGTTGCTGAAAGTAAATTCTTGATAAAGCTATGTAGCCAGTGCCTGAGTATTTACCATGTATATGCAAGAAATTTGGAAAGCATTCTTACGTTTAATTCAAAAATTGAAAATGGTTTGGCCTAAAACTCATCACTTACTGATAATGTATACTGTTTGAGACGACACAGACTAAGCATTTTATTTTTTAACTAATGGATTTTCCTTATAGTTAGTGCTAAAGTAAACATGTTTAGTAATCCAGTTTTTACATTTAGGTTAGAGAAAGACTGCTGAGAGTATTGTTCCTTCTGCCTTCTGGTTCTTAGTGAACTTTACTTCAAAACGGTGTATGTTATTCGTTCTGCCCATTAATTAGAGAAATGCTGAATTTTCTCCGATTTGAGTTGATCATTTCACTCCTACTGAAAAGTGAACGAAATATTTTATTGTAGTAATGGCATAGAGGAGCCTTTAGAAGAATCCTCGCATGAACCTGAACCTGAGCCAGAATCTGAAACAAAGACTGAAGAGCTGAAACCGCCAGTGGAGGAGAAGAACTTGGAAGAGTTAGAGGAGAAGTCTGCTTCTCCTCCGCCTGCTGAACCTGTTTCTCTGCCACAGGAACCACCAAAGGTTAGATCCAAGGAGCTCTTCAGGCCCGTAACGTCACGCTTTCATACGGTGCCATTCATGAAGCATGACCTTTGTTCTGCTATGTTAATTGTTGAATAGTAAACTATGCTTTTTTTATGTGTACGAAAGAAGCTGTGGGGTTTTTTTGGTAATTCTGAGGATATCGTATTTCACCCCCTAAAAAACACCCCTCAGAATAAAAATTTTAAGATTTGATTCTTATTTGTGTGCAGTGTTTAGTACCATACATGAAATTATTCAAGTCCATATAATAAAGCCAAGAGTTGCTCTTCCATTCTGTATTAAGTCCTCTACACACAGATGCAAACAGGAGTCATGCAGTTTCCCAGCTTAAAACAAATTGGCCTATTGTTAAAACAAGTGATATGTGTGCTATTTCTGGTTTAAATGGGAACAGTTTCCTTACTACACCAAACTGTCTTGGAAAGATGAGTGATACCCATAGTGTTTCGTTTAAACCTACCTAAAACATTTTTTATTTTTCTGTAAAGTAGGTATATTTGGGTAGTGAGAGGAGATTGCTTGTTCTATTTGTGAATGTCTGTTAAAGTTTCCAGCTAGTACTCTCTTCTTTCCTGTCCTTCCTCTCTCCCCTTAGCGCCATCACACACCTTATCTTCCCCCCAAAAGGGGAAAGAAATTGATTCTATTAGGTTCTTATTTTTCTAGCATGTGTAGTTGCTAGTGGTTTTGCTTACCACTTGCTCATCTACTTAGTGCATATAGGAACTTGCTTGTGGATTTATTTAGTAGTTCAAACAAAACAGTCATAATCTTGCATAATGAAATTTTGAAACCTGGCACATAGACTGGCATGTGTGTGTGTGCCTTTCTTTTTAGGAGTCCTCCAATATAGAGCAATAGTTTAGAAATGAAAAGAAAATATATATTTGGAAGTTTCCCTATAGGAATGTTGGTGGTTTTCCATGATTAGTAGTCTAGGTTTGTTGCATTTCCTGCAGGCTTTCTCCTGGGCTTCAGTGACCAGTAAAAACCTGCCTCCTAGTGGCACTGTTTCTTCCTCTGGAATTCCACCCCATGTTAAAGCACCAGTCTCACAGGTAACGATCTGTGAACACATTGGATTGTATCCTTGTTACATTGCCAATTGCTTATCTTTTTCATACTTTTAAAAATGAGTCAATCAGAAATAATGAATTAAATATACAAAAAAAATTGTATTAAATGTCAGTTGCACCCACTTTAAATGCCAGATCTCCATTCATCATCTACATAGGTGGTATTTGGGGGTATGGGTGTGTGAAATAATACAGATTTAGTTAGTTTTAACAATATATATTGTCATTTAAAAGCCTTCTTAAAATAACCAAAAAACTCCTTTTTATAAGTTTAAAATGTCATTTAGCAAAAATATTAGGGAAGAAATTTGAAAGCCACGAAGTAGTATGGCATTATAAAGAATCATTGTTTTTTTTTTTGTTTTGTTTTTTTTTTAAACAGAAAGCTAAAAACAAAAATGCACTGCCTAAGCTCTCAGTCTGTAAGTGGTTCATACTGTTTAATTGAAGCCTGTACCAACTTATGACTGTAGTGTTCACCTTAACTGATCATTCTAGTATTCTGCCTTTTGTCTGTTTGTCATCTTACCCACCTCAGAGCTTTCAAAAACATTGAAAAATAAAGACACTGGCTACCTAATGTGTTCATTAGACATACTTTAGAGTTAACCAAATTCTAAAGTAAATAGACACAGTTAAAGGGTGTCCAGTACTTCTACATTTTGAGTCAAGCTTCATTCCAGTATAAAATTTACATGTAAAATGGTTAGTGCACATAAAATTGTGTTTTTACACCTCTTTTTGTGCTCTGAACATTGAAACTGTGAGATTTCAAAAGTAGCTAGTAATTATTAGGCAGTCTACCTGGTCTTGGTACACATAATTAGCTATGTAATAGAATACATGGCCTTGTGGCAGTTTTTTTTTTTTTTTTTCCAGCTAGATATTCAGGAAATACTGAGTAATTACCTCAGATCACAAACTAGAAGTCTGTCTTAATGAAGAAAATTAATTTGCCAAGTACTGATTGTACTTTTCTACCCATTTGAAGATTCAATAAGTGATTTTCTGAATTTTCTTTTGGAATTCTTAGTTTCTTACCAGATTTGTGTTTAGAATCTTTTGTATTATTACTTGAATTTCAGAGAGTTGGCTACATTTATTTTAAACTTACTGCTAGTTAAAAGTTAGAGTAACTAATGCCTATTACGCCTTTAGTATGGCACCACACATTGTGCAAAGCACTTATTTATTCTTACCTAGTCCCTGTAGGGACTAATTATTCCTGTTTCACAGACAAGTAAATTGAGACCTTGAGTACTTCACTGAAGGTCAGACAGCTATATAAATAAAATAGTAGGGCTTCGAATTCATGCAGTTAGATACCCATTCAAGCCTGTAGGTTTCTTCAGCCCTTGGAGGGTAATGTATCTCTGTTTACATCAAAGAAGAAGAGTGTTTACATCAAAGAAGAGAAGTGCTATATCTAAGTCATGTCTATATGTTACATTACATTAGATCCTAGCCTCTTGTCTAGAGAAATAAAATTTTAAGTTGAAAAAAAAGGTAAGAGACTGGATTGTGTTTTAATAACCTATCCTTATTAAGACAAAATTTTAAACATTTATAATTTAAACTTTAAAATACTTTCTGATCTGAAGCTGTATAAGAATGGATTCATAATTGTTTTCCTCTTGATTTAATAAACCGTTCAGTTTTGTCACTTTGGTATAGTATCCATTTCCTTAACATTTTGAGCATAGATTATTAATAAAAGGCTTCCCAGGTGGTGCTAGTAATAAAGAACCCGCCTGCCAATGCAGGAGACATAAGAGATGCGGGTTTGATCCCTGGGTCAGCAAGATCCTTTGGAGGAGGAAATGGCAACCAACTCCAGTATTCTTGCGTGAAGAATGCCATGGACAGAGGAGCCTGGTGGGTCCCAGTCCATAGGGTTGCAAAAAGTCGGATATGACTGAAGCGACTTAGCACACATTAATAGAAGGAGAATTAAATCTAATTCCAAAGTATTGGTAGGCATTAATTTAGAAGTAGTTCATTTATTTTCTTGGCAGATTTGTTGGAAGTGGATTAGTTCATTTAAGTAGCTTTTGTTTGGTTGAAGTACACATTAGTTGTGGTTTTACCTGCTGTTACTGAGTTGATTGATGGTTTCATTTTTATTTCATATTATGTTTGCTTTCATTTGTGGCATTTGTCATGTGAGCACACTTTCTGGTTGCGTGGAATTAATTTTCAGGCCCTGAAGGTTTTACATGGTTGTCTTAGTTACTTTATCTCCTTGGAGCAAGAAGTTTTCATGAAATTAATCCTGAAGAATTGTAAGTGCAAAGCTGGCTTAATTGACATATATTGAAAGAAATATTGATAAAATTTTTTTGTCTCACATTTTTCTTGTACTGGCATCATCAAGTATCTAAAAAGTTGCTAAATTCTTGTATGGGTTATTTGTAAGATGTTGAAACTTATTTAAACTTGTGTTTTTAATATTAAATCCTTAAAGGATGATAACTTTTTTGTTTTGCTACTTTATTTTTGTTTCATTAATCTTTTGAAAAGAATCTGAATCATTCAGCTAGAATTCTTTTTCTTGGATTGAATGAATTGAGGTTTTTCTAGATATTTAAATTTAAAAGTGTGATTTGCTATTTTTGTTCCTTAAGTACTAGCTTCATCAAACTTTAGAAAATATCTGTTCTTTAATAAGGTTTTATATTCATACTGTTTGAGTTGTGCTTTTAGGCCCTGCCCTCCTCAGTTGAAATTTCTAAATAGCTGCCTTTTCCAGGCATCACATTTTCCGTCAAATTATTATGTAGTCTTAAATTCTAAATACAGATAGCAGTGGTCTCGGGGCTGTAGTGTTGGTTCCCTGGTCAGGCTAGAACATTTTCCTACATGTTTTGAATTAGAGAACCAGATATAATTTAATTTTAAATGAACCATTAGTTACTGAACATCTGTGTCTAATAGCACTGTACTTGGTACTTTTTCTGGTGTAGAAATAAGATATAGTCCTTGTAGGAATAAGTACACATAAATAATTTAAATACCTGAAAGAGTTAGACATTGAAAATTTTTTTTTAGCTAGCAAAATTCTAGAACATGGGAAACAACTTCATTTTGAGAGAAATAGGAAATCTAGAAGAAAAATAACTTGAGTGAGACAGGCAAATTTATTAAAGACTGCTAGGATAGGAGATATATGCCTTTTGGTTACAGCAGATGAAACTATAAATTGTTTTTAAAAGAAACATAGCTCTTTGTATCAAAATTTGTCCTTGCAAATTATAGTATCCTAGTTATATAAACTGAAAGAGTTTGAGCCACTTTTGGGCTGAGGTACTCAGAGGTGGTCAGCCATAAAGATAGCTAGTTTTTTGACTTGAGGACACATTCTCCATATTCCTGCTGAGTGTTTTCAGCATTCTTTGAAGGTGCATATGTTTTCTCTCTTCCTTGGATCATAAGTATTTGGGTAATAGACTGCCTGAAGACATTGGAAATACTGAAAATGCCATGTATGAAGGAAAAGGTAATAGATGTAGCTGTCATTTTGTTTTTAATATAGTTATTTAATTACATGTGTTTCATTTAGCAGTTAGCAGAAACTTTTGGAGGGTAACTTAAAATGATCTATTATTGCTCCTGCCACACCCAAGAAACAGTTAAGAAACATTGTTGGGGTCAGTCCATAAATGCATCTCTCTCTTGTAAGGAAGAACAGGAAGCTAAAGGACTTCTTGGACTGTTTGAGATGCTATAAACACGCTTCCTATATTGTTTTTTGTGTACATCTTAACTTTAAGGTAGTATTTTTAGGTGCCAGAGTATACTAAATTTTATATTTTGAATTACCAAAATATTGATTTAAAAAATTATTCATGATATCGCTGAGCACTAAATTTGAAGGGCAGCAAACTAGATAATTAGAAGTATGTATCATATATTCTTGTCTTCCAAAGATAAAGACAGCTTTTTATTTTATATATGTATTTACATGAAATGGCTCATCTTGAATTTTTTTACTTTTGTAGCAGTATCTTTTATACTGTCTCAATGTGGATGTAACTTTATTGAAAAAATATGGTTATAAAAATAACAGCTTATTATGAATTATAACCTAGAGTGAGAAAACAAAATTTACTCTACAGTCCTAGATTGGTACAGAATATCTTTATAAAAATTTATGTTTCACATATGTAGGACATACATTAAAAATATTCTAGACTTAAAATTACCATAATGCCTGCTGGTGACTTGGTGGTGTTGCTTTAGTTTGGTTGTTTTTCTCCTGTGGAATGTGTTTCTTTATAATGTATTTTTTTCCCTTGTATTTTAGCCGAGAGTGGAAGCGAAACCAGAAGTTCAGTCTCAGCCACCTCGTGTGCGTGAACAACGACCTAGAGAACGACCTGGTTTCCCTCCTAGAGGACCAAGACCAGGTGAGTCAGCCCCTCCTATGATCTGCAGCAGTTAGAATGTGAAAAGTTAGAGAAAACTGAAGTGGAAAAATTTTTTTAAATTATAATGTATTTTATATGCAAATCCTTTTAGTACCAAGTTGCTTAAGGCTAAGGTAACCTGATATATATACAGCCTGGGTAAAACAACTAACTTTGGGGGGGGAATTAGTTGACATGCCATAGAGACATATATTTTAAAAATAATAAGAGAATTTTGAGACACATTTTCTTTGGTTATTGTCACTGGTCCTAAGAATTCAAAACCGAGCTGCCAATAACCTATTCTCTTACTTAGCACTCTTATCTCTTCACAGATAAACAATAAGCACACCCTGATTCTTCTTTTTTGATTGTCTTAGGTATTAAGTAAGTTGCCATGATTTTTGACTTGTTTCCATTGTTAGCTAATATATGTAGAACCTCTATTTGAATTCTATAAATATGTTTAGATTGCTTTTGGGAGGAGGTGGGAGATAGTATACATCATATTTTAGAAAATGTACTTTTAAAATTAAATAAGTGTGTTATTAAACCAGAAGTTATGGGAGCTGGGGTTTATCCCAGCCTTGTCACTGAGTTTGTGATCTTGGGTAAGACCCTTAAATGATGACATTCTCTTAAACCATTCAGTTACTACACAAATTTTTTCTGTGTGATGCCTTTCTTTATATGCCTCATTCTGTTCCTTGTGTTAGTGTGAGGATCATATAAGATTTTATATATGTATATATGAGCACCCTAAGGTATATAAAAGGTTACATAAATGACATACTATTGCTGTTAAATTTACTGATTTGGCTATAATTTTATACAACAATCTTTTATACAGGATTAATTTGTGCACTTTAAAGTACTAAACAAATATTTAGTACAAACACATCTCACTATCTAAAATCAGTTTGGTGCCTGGGTGCAAGAGTTTGGTTAAGGAGGAATACTTGTACTGCTGATACTAGGCTTTCACATGATCAGACCAGTAGATCTAGAAGGAAGGGACTTTGGCAATCTAGTCAGTACCCTCAGTTAACACTTCAGTGTCTTGTTATTTTCTCACTAACCTACTAATAATAGGCAGTTCCACAACTCAAAGGAGCTTATTACCTTATTAAACTAAAACAAGAATATCAAGTGTTGGGGTTTTTAACTTTCATTGCTTTGAACTAGCTGTTTATTATATGACATTGTAAACTTTAATATCTGCTCTGTTCCTCTTCTCAGGCAGAGGAGATATTGAACAGAATGAATCTGACAACCGTAGAATAATTCGCTATCCAGATAGTCATCAACTCTTTGTTGGTAACTTGCCACATGATATTGATGAAAATGAACTAAAAGAGTTCTTCATGAGTAAGTGGTTTACTTTGCTTTATGGTAAAATTAAGCAGGAAGTGAAGAGAATTTTTTTTCTAATCATAAGACTTATTCTTCTTGACTTTTATTTCAGAGAAAGCATTCTGTTGTTATAATCAGATTTTCACATAACATTATATTCCAGATAATTGACCAAAAGTTATGGTAATGCCAAAAGTTTTGACAACTATTTTGATTTGCTATAGTTTTTAAATTTTTTTTTAGACATATACATGTATCCATTCTCACTCAAGCTCCTTTCCCATCCAGGCTGCCACATAACATTGAGCAGAGTTCCATGTAGCTATACAGTAGATCCTTATTGGTTATCCATTTTAAATATAGCAGCATGTACATATTGATCCCAAACTCCCTTAACTATCCCTTCCCTTTTATCCCCCTCCCCCCCAAACCATAAGTTCGTTCTCTATGAGTCTCTTTCTGTTTCATAAGTAAGTTCATTTGTATCATTTCTTTTTAGATTCTGTGTATTATGTCATATGATATTTCTTCTTCTCAGTCTGACTTCACTCAGTATGGCAATCTCTAGGTCCACCCATGTGCCTGCAGATGGAATTATTTCATTCTTTTTAATGGCTATGGCAGAAAGTAAAGAAGAACTAAAGAGCCTCTTGATGAAAGTGAAAGAGAGTGAAAAAGGTGGCTTAAAGCTTAACATTCAGAAAACTAAGATCATGGCATGTGGTCCCATCACTTCATGGGAAATAGATGGGAAACATTGGAAACAGTGTCACTTTAGTTTTTGGGGCTCCAAAATCACTGCAGATGGTGACTGCAGCCATGAAATTAAAAGACGCTTACTCCTTGGAAGGAAAGTTATGACCAACCTAGATAGCATATTAAAAAGCAGAGATATTACTTTGCCAACAAAGGTCCGTCTGGTGAAGGCTATGGTTTTTCCAGTGGTCATGTATGGATATGAGGGTTGGACTATAAAGAAAGCTGAGCGCTGAAAAATTGATGCTTTTGAACTGTGGTGTTGGAGAAGACTCTTGAGAGTCCCTTGGACTGCAAGGAGATCCAATCAGTCCATCCTAAAGGAGATCAGTCCTGGGTGTTCATTGGAAGGACTGATGCTGAAGCTGAAACTCCAGTGCTTTGGCCACCTCATGCGAAGAATTGACTCATTGGAAAAGACCCTGATGCTGGGAGAGCTTGGGGTCAGGAGGAGAAGGGGACGACAGAGGATGAGATGGCTGGATGGCATCACTGACTCGATGGGCATGAGTTTGGGATAGACTCAGGGAGTTGGTGGTGGACAGGGAGGCCTGGCGTGCTGCGATTCATGGAGTCGCAGAGAGTCGGACATGACTGAGGAACTGAACTGAACTGAACGGCTTAGTAGTATTCTATTGTATATATGTTCTACATTGAGGAGAGTACTATTTTCATAATATGATTTAAAAAAAAAAAATTTACCTCCATACATTGTATTTCTCTAGGTACTGGTCACCTTTAATGGGTCAGGAATATAAGGTTACATCAGATGTTTCCCAGTGACTGTACTTAGTGTTGATTGACCTGGTTCTGTAGAGATTAGAAGAAAGAGCTGGGTGAATCAGTCTTAAATTTGGAAATGGGAATCATTCGGCAAATACAAATCTAATATAGACACTAAAATTGTCTCTCTAAAATGTGTAGGTAAATTTTCCTTTTGAATGGACTGATAAAGATGCAGGGCAACAGAATAGGCTAGCTGTTGGCATCTTAAGTGAATAATGTGAAACCTGTAAGAGTGAAAGTACCTTAATGTGCAATGGGTATAGCAGCTTGCAAGTTGTGTTTTGAAATGGGTCAGGTAGAATGAGGTATTAAATTCTAAACAGTAACAGTTGCAAAATATCCTGTTAAAATATTTTATCCTTTGTGTAATGTATATTTTCACAGGTTTTGGAAATGTTGTGGAACTTCGCATCAATACCAAAGGTGTTGGGGGAAAGCTTCCAAATTTTGGTTTTGTGGTTTTTGATGACTCCGAACCAGTTCAGAGAATCTTAATTGCAAAAGTAAGTGACTTAAAGGGCATAATTGAATACCTTATTATTCCTGTTGTATTTAATGTGAATTAGTCTTTTTTAAATTATAAAGTTAAAAATAGTTTACTGTGAACTAGTATTTATGCACAGAATAAAGATGTGTTAGTAGTTTTAAAATTTGAGATATGGATCATTTTAAAATTTGTTTATTATTTACTCTGGTAAAGGTTGGATATTGAGAATAGATTGCATATTGAGAATTTTATGAAAAGTTTTTTTGTCTTTTAGGATTTTCTTATGTAAGAAAGTAAGAAAATCACTATTTCTTACATCACTATTACTGTCTAACCTGCCCATGTACATTTTTTTTCTTTCTTTTTAAAGCCAATTATGTTTCGAGGGGAAGTACGTTTAAATGTGGAAGAGAAAAAGACAAGAGCTGCCAGAGAGCGAGAAACTCGAGGTGGTGGTGATGACCGCCGGGATATTAGGCGCAGTGATCGAGGTCCCGGTGGTCCCCGGGGGATCGTGGGCGGCGGAATGATGCGAGACCGGGATGGAAGAGGACCCCCTCCGAGAGGCGGCATGGCACAGAAGCTTGGCTCTGGGAGAGGAGCCGGGCAAATGGAAGGCCGCTTCACAGGACAGCGTCGCTGAGGCGCCACTGTCGGCAGAGTCCTGACAGTGGTACATTATTCATCGTGTTTGCATTCTTATTAATTTTTTTTTGGCTTTGGAATGTGACACAGCCTTTTTGATCATTTCTTTGATGTGAAAAGCATCTTTCGGTTATCAGTTAAATTGAGGTGGACATTATTTCCCCAATTTTACAACAGGATTCGCATTGTTAATTTATCTAGACTTGGAGAATTAAGGACTGAGAAATGACCATATCTTAAACTATCTACAACAAAATGAACTTAAAAGGACATGCCCAACTGAATTCAGGTCCTTTGAGTCAAAATATCCTCTGCTGCACATTTTGTTTAAGTGTTACTGTTTCTGCCTATTATTGTTGGAAACACAAATAGTGCAATTTGTGCAATTGGAGAATCTTGCCTTTTTTTCTTGGCTCCCCCCAAAAATACAAACCAACAGAAAAACTTGTTATGCACTCATTAGAATGTACTAATGGGTACTCTGAACTCGTTAACCTTGACACCTGCAACAGGAGGCAATAGGGGAAAAAATCTTTCATCTTTTTTTCCAGTAGAGCATAGTTTGTGAAATGATGAGGGCATTTTTACCTGCTTGCTGTGACCAGCGTGTGTACACATAAACCTTAACAAGACTACAGGTATATTCCAGAAGGAAGTCATTTAGTTATGAACTAAATAACAAAGATCAGAACTTCAAATGCTATGGTCTTGAATATTAGACCAGATTTAGTAGCTCCACATCTAAGGTTTTTTTCTACCTGCCCCTCTTCAGTACAGGGATGGCTGGCTGCTCGACACACTCCTCCTCCCCCTTTCCTTTCTTTAAGCTGTGTACAGTGAAAGTTGTCTTTACTGTATTTCTGTTTTCTGGTAATGTAATACGCATGATGGTGCCTTCTATTAATACATCATTCCAGTCTTGCTGGTAATTTTGTACAGTATAGTGTATAAATTGCTGTGCTGCAAAGCCAAACAGCTGCAAAATGTTGAGAAATCATTGAAGTATATAAAAATTGCAGTATCTTTAAAATCAGTAAAATTGACTAGTATATTATTTACCTTGTTCTTCAGTTAACAACTTTGTGTTCTCTGTGGGAGGGAGTCTTGTGTGTTTGGGAGGGAGAGGGAAGGAGGAAGTCAGTTATTTGAGTCAAAGTCTCTTGTTGACTTTTCTCTTAGCTTGAAGGTGAACGTTGAAGCGTATCACTTGAGAGGTACTTGGAAAAGTCAGTCTACTTGATGTACATTTTTAGTGACCTTTTAAAAGCAGTCAGATTCCATAAATGGCACGTAAACCTGAAGTGAGGATACTGCAATTTTCAGAGAAAAGAACAGCAGCTCTTAAGTGTTTGCATTTTCTATTTGGGGGGGCAGGGAACTGTCATTCATTTTGCACAATTCTTGACCTGATGTCAGCACCCGAGTGGCTCTGAATTTAAGTCTGGGATGACATCTTTTATTTTTACATGAATCTCTAAACAATTCTGTGAGCAAAGTTTGTAGCTGCTGGATTATTGTCTGTCTTTATAGCAAGTTCCGGTAAACCACAAATATGACAAAAGGATATCCGATTTTATGCCTGGAGTATTTGGTACCTACCAGTTTCTGATGTTTCAGGCCAGGAGTGGGGTAAATAAGTGTGACCACTTAAAGCTGCTTGTAGCATGGAAGACTTCTCCATTCTGTCTTAGTAAAAACAAACAAAAAATGCACTTGACATAATAGCAAACTTTCTTAATTATGAAACTGTTTGCTATTTAGTAAACTAGCAAATGATGCACATATTTTGTTTTTCATGTACTGGGCAATGTAAGTAAAATTAAGCCTATTCCCCCTCCCACCCCCACCCCCACCCCTTGAATGAGGTCTTCCATGTTCGAGGAAAAGTCTTGCACTATTGGATGTATTTTGGGGACGCAGATTTCTCAGTTTCCATTTTGGGGGGTTTAAGGATTTTTTTTCCTGTTTGAAATACATTTATGCTTTCTAATGTATAGTACTTGAAGTTCTTACAAGAAAATTACTTTTGAGTTTTGAAGCTTTTATTCAAACTGCTTTTAAATAAGTGGTTTCTTGTCAGTGTTTTTTTTTTTTATAGCATATTGTTCCTCTTTCATTTCTTTCTCCTTCTCCTTTATTTGATATATATATATATATATATATATATATAAAATTTTGAATCCAAGATATTGCCCTTCCACCCATGAAAACTGTTCTGGCACCAAAAGTAATGATAAATGTTAAGTGTAATAGAAAATTAAAGCAAAGAGCCATTCAGCTTCAGTCTTTACATACCATGAATAAAACATTAAAACATCACATGGAGAAGTTTACATGGTGATTATTCACCTGCAGTACTGTGGACTTTTAACATTTTGTCCCCTTTTCAGTGAACCAGAGTAAAAACATTCATCTACCATAATTGTTATTTGCTGTTTTTTTTTTTAATTGTTGTTGTTTGTTTTTATTTTTTGGATGGTAATATTCTATTCTATCCTTATGACACTATTGCAACCAAATTGGCTTTACCATCTTGGCTTTAGTAGGTATAGAAGACAATGGATTACCATCTTTATTGCTGTAATGTGTTAAGCATTATATGCTAGTAGTATTTAGTTTAATTGTTTCAGGTGAAAAGTATTCTTTGAGTTTCCATTTTGAATGTGTTTGGACTAAACAAACAATAAACTACTGATGTCTGCAGCATTTTATCTATGTCCCTAATTTAATTTGTAGGTTTGTGTTCCGAAATATTTTCTCCCAGTTGCATTTCACACAACCTCAGTAAAATAAGGAATTGTTCTAAAATCAACTGATTATTATTTGTGAAATTTGATACATAAATTATTTAAGTAAGACTTAAACATAATTACTTGAACTGAGATTGATCCCAGTTCAGTTAGATAGCTGGTAAACAAGATAGGGAATATTAGACCAGAATAATAAGTGGTGAGGAAGGTTAGAAGCAGATTACTAAACACTTGTTTATTTTTATTAATCTTGGGTTTTCCAAAGGATTGCTACTTCATCTCAGAAGGAAAAGAGGATGGGAAGATCGAGGTGATCTGAAGTTATGGACATGACCAGTTCGGCAGTTAGAACAAATCTGTGAAGCTCTAAAAGAATATTAAAAGGGAAAAGAATCATTCAGTCATAGTTAACAAATAGAATCATTCAGTCATAGTTAACAAATATATTCTTCAAATGAAAAATAAAATCATAAGGCATATGTAATTTTAGAACTTGAGACTTTTACTTTGTTTATAGGGATAGTACAAGTGAATTTTTCCTGATATATTTCTAACACTGAAGATTCCGTAAATCTCCCCCCCCCCCCCTTTATTTTTTCCCATAATCTTTACTAGTTTGTACTGGAGAAAAGCTAGACTGTTATTCAAGTACTTTTAGGAAGTAAGACTCAAGATTTTTATAATCTATTAAGCTGACTTTCAGTTTTAATTATAATGTGTAATATTTCATTTTATGGCTATGGAAAAACATTATTCAGAAGGGATAAAATGTATGTGCCATACTATATTGAACACAAATTTGAAGGAGTAAAATATCATTTGGTCCAGGAAATGTGGAACAAAATATTTGAAAGTTGAACTACACATGATGCTTCGTTTAAGTTGTATTATGTAATATAGCCTTTGTATCAAGTAAATGAAAATGTAATGAATAGATGTTCATATTTTTAGGATAACTTGCTCATCATAATTTATATTTCAACTTCAGGTGAAGACTTGATTTTTTTTTTCCTTTTCAGTCTGTTTTCATAAGGCTTTCTAATTATTGTCTTCATCATTTTAATGCCAGAATTCTAAAGTATCTTAAATGACTGGATAAATGAATTATGTATCATTATGTTCTGAAAGAGATTTCCCTTCATAAAAGATATGAGTAGCTTCATTGATCATAGAAGATGTGAGTAGTTTTGTTTAAAGCCATTTGCATAGTTAAGTCAGAATTCCTTCAGTTTTCAAGGTATTTTTGACAATTGAAATCTTCCAATCTGTTTATGTAGTATGTAACCACACCTTATACTTAAGAATTAATAGGAAACGAAATTGGTTTTTAGCATTACTGAATACTGGGCAAAATACTATAAGTGAGAGTTTAGAATTAAACATTCACAGTAAGATTACTACTCTTGTCCTTGATTTCCTGAGAGTTTTGATAAAGCTGGCTGCCTACTTGGTTTTATGACAATAAACTCATCACTCCATAACCACCACCACCTTCCCCCTACACACACACCTATCCTTTATGTCCTCAGCCTCTTTCCCCACAAGTTTTCTCTGAATGGTTTCATTTAGGCCAGGAATTACCTTAGCTTCAGTATATTGTCCATTCAGTAAACTTCCTGTAGTGTGATGATAAGTGGTGGGCTTTGGAGACAGCCTGGCCTTGAATGGCAACTCCACCATTCAGTGGTTAGCCGTTTTCTGTGCTCCTGTTTAACTCATTTGTAGACTAGGGAGGAGGATTGTGAGGATTCAGTGAGTTAATACATAAAGCTCCTAAAACAGTGTATGCGGCGTTCAGTAAGTGTTACCTGTTACTTTTTTTACACAGGTGAATTTCTATTGTCTACCGATAATTATGTTTCAGACATTTCTTTTTTTATTCCTATTTTGCCTTGTCCCCTTTTAAAGTCCTGGTGGTGATTTAGTTGCTAAGTCATGTCTGACTCTTGTGACATATGGACTGTAGCCTGCCAGGCTCCTCTGTCCATGGGATTCTCCAGGCAAAAATACTGGAGTGGGTTGCCATTTCCTTCTCCAGGGGATCTTCCCAACCAGGGCTCCTGCACTGTAGGAAGATTCTCTACCAACTGAGCTATGAGGCAAGCCCTTTGAAGTACTAGGTAATTCAAAATTCAGAAGTCCAAAGCAATGTGTTTTCTAACTGCCATGCTTCTCTTTCTAAGTGGTGTGCATACCTAATTCTCTGATAGTGAACGTCCCTATTAACCTAAAAATGAAGTCTTATCTGTATCTTAATATTTTCTCTTTGTCTCCCTTCTGTCCATTTTAATTGATTTAACGATTGAGCTTCTGAGTGCCAGGTGTGTTTTAGGTACTGTTGATAAGTGATGAAGTAAAAAGTTCCTTGCTCTCGGGTTAAAAGGTCTGAAACAGTGGTTGCATATTTAAGGTAGCTAGGGGGACTTCCCTCACAGTCCAGTGGTTAAGATTCCGTGGTTAAGATTCCGTGCTTCTGCTTCCGGGGGGGCTCAGGTTCCATCCTTTTATTTTTTTAAGGAAAAACTAGGAAGCTGACTGTGAGGAGGTTGGTCTTTATGACAAGAATAATAGGAAGTTGAAGGTTTATTTAGCAGGATGGTAATTCTATTTTGAAATGTCTGGCTACAGAGTAAACAAAATGAAGGAGTTAAGTAATGAGTAAGCTGGGTGAAAGGATGCTGTATTTCAGTAAGGCATGCTAGTAGAGTGGTTGTACTAGCTTGGACTAGAGTGATGTTAGAAACCTAAACAATTTGAAAGACTTTGTGGGTAAAACAGCCAGGTCTTGGTGAGGAGAAAGGTAGTATCAAAGAATCCAAAGTTGTTCCCTTGCATAACTACAAAAGCAAAGTGATATGTGAAGTGTGTTAAAGCCAGCCTTTCATGATGGGGAGGCAGGAGTGTTCTACAAAAGTATATGTTTTAAAAAACCATGCTTTCATGATGGGGAGGCAGGAGGGCTAGTGGAACCCTCTTGGATTTTGATGTGAAGTGGACCTTAAAAGAGGAAGCTTTATAGGAGAGTGTAATTTTGACTTGTGCCTTTTAATTTCAAGAACAGTACATAGAATGATTTATGTACTGTGTTTTAACACAAAGCATGCTGTGTCCATTGTAGAAAGTACAGATACTCCAAGAGAATGAACTGGACAATAACCCATGGATGATTTCTGTAAATAGCTTGGTGGGTGTGGGGGTGTGTTTTCCTTCATATTTATTTTAATGAAGACAGATCACTTAGAGAGTGTTCCTCAATCATCTAGAGTTGACATGGGACATAGGAGCACTCCAGTCAGAGGGACCAAATAATGTAAAGCCTACGAAATTAGAAAAGTGAAGAAGGTAATGAGAAGCTGGGATAGGTGGAATTAGGGTTCAAGGGGTGGCAAAGTGGTAAGAAGTGAACTAGACTGGATCATGTAAGCAGCCTACATACTGAGTTTATTTGGAAAAACTATACTACCCAAAGCAATTTACAGATTCAGTGCAATCTGTTTCAAAATTCCAATGGCATTTTCCACAAGATAGGATCAAAAAAAAAAAAAAAATCCTAAAACTTGTTTAGTAAGTAAGCATTAGTCGCTCAGTCATGTCCAACTCTGTGATTCCCCATGGACTGTATAGCCTGTCGGCCTCTTCTGTCCATGGAATTCCCCAGTCAAGAGTACTGGAGTGGGTTGCCATTTCCTTCTCCAGGGGACCTTCCCGACCTAGGGATCGAACCTGGGTCTCCTGCGTTGCAGGCAGATTCTTTGCCAACTAAGCAGCTTAGGGAAGCCCGATTGCAACATGAAGCCATTAATTGTGAAGACAGTTAATCATGGGAGTGATATGCTGTGTACAGGTTAGGTGGTAGGAGGATAAGAATGGGAACAGGAGGCTGCTGTGATATCTGAAGGGGAGGGAAATAGATTTAGGTTATTTTTTGGCAGCTGACATTAGGTGTCTGAAAGGAATGCAGAATGATTCAAGTTCTAAATAGCATAAATATACAAATCAATGAAAACAGTGTAACCAGTAAAATAGTTCTCTTTACACCCATTTTCATCTCCAAAATTGAGTTTTCTCCAATATCTGACCTAATACTTAGGCAAAGTCGGGTGTAGTTATCTTTTACAGATGACAAGACTGAGGCTCATAAAGTATATAGTTACACAAGCATGAAGTAATTTGAAATACTGGATTAGCTAAAAGTGTTGACCTGCTTCAAAAGTAAGTAATTTTAGAAAAAAGATGAGTTTTAAGCAGTGAGAGTTTAAACTTTGAGTGCAGTGCATTTTATTCTGGCTTTATTTTAGAAAATTGAAAAAAATCAGTTTCCAGATGAGTAGGCCTAAAATTAAGGATCCTTTAATCAGGAATTACAACATTCAGGAAATTCAGCGTTAGTTAAAATAATGAGGCAGGGTGTAGACTTGGAACAGAAACCAAATACCTGTTACATACTGTGAGAAAATAATTTTTGAGGACCTCTTATTTTACTTAGGTTACATCTTACTCTGATAACCTGATTTTCATTTATTATTTTTAAAGAGGTGAACTAAAACTTGGAGAGGTGAATACAAAGCTCTGCCTGACATGTAGCAATGAGGATAGTGACCTGGAATAGAAAACATGTGTGAGACATTTCAGCTGGAATGTGGCTTACCAGGAAGGATTAGTGATGTTTGAAAGCAAACAGTGAAGTAACCAATACATGTGAAAGCAGTGAGAAAGATTTGTACAGCAGTCAGTGAGTATTAGCATCTTTGGTGGCTCAGATGGGAAAGAATCTGCTTGCAGTGGTGATGCAGGAGACCCAGGTGGATCCCTGGGTCGGGAATATCCCCTGGAGAAGGGAATGGCAACCCATTCTAGTATTGCCTGGAGAATTCCATGGATGGGAGGCTGGCGGGCTATAGTCCATGGAGGTCACAAAGTGACGTGGCTGAATGACTAACGTGCTAGAAACCTCCCTGGGTGCTGGCTGGCAATACAGCAGATGGAGCCTACCCTCAGAAAACTTGTAGTTTTTGAGGGAGGCAACAGACAAGCAATTTCAGTCCTCATTAGCCCTGGGCATAATACAACTCATTAAGTTCCAATAGTAATCCTCTGAGGAGTCCTATTTATGTTACAGATGGATAAACTCAGGCACAGTGGGGTTGACTGCTTTTCCAATAGCACATGGCTAATAGAAGATAGAACTAGTAGAGGATGTAATAGTGACGAGATGGGGCTGTTCCTTCATCACTCCTGGGGTGGTATGAAGGGCTTCAGGGAGTACATTTGAGATCTGAAATGAAGAAAAGATAGCTTTAAGGATGAAGAGCATTCCAGATAGAACCAATGCTGTGCTTGCAAGGAGCTTGGTGTGTTCAAGGACATTAACACCAGTGTGGCCATGATAGTAAGCAGATGATATCAACAGATAGTGAAGTGAAAGTTGCTCAGTCATGTCTGACTCTTTGCAACCCCACAGACTGTACAGTTCCATGGGATTCTCCAGGCCAGAATACTGGAGTGGGTAGCCGTTCCCTTCTCCAATCAGGAGGTAGGTAAGAGCTAAATTGAGGATGGCCCTGTAGTTGGATTTTACTCTTGAGCTGGGATTGTAGGAATCTGGGCAAGGAAATGATGTGAGGAGCCTGTCAGGAAGGGATGTTGTGTTATGGCAGTGGTCGCTTGGATTAGGATTGGAGTAGTGAAGATGGTGATAAATGGTCAGTTAATAATTGGGATACAGCCTATAAGACTATAATGGATTGGATTTTTCTTCTTCTTCTTTTTTTGGCTGCGTGGCATGTGAGATCTTGGTTCCTCCACCAGGAGTGAACCCTTACTCCTGCATTGGAAGTGTGGTCTTCACTACTGGACTACTGGGAAAATCCCATTATGGATTGAATTTTGAATGTGAGGGAAAGATAATATTCAAGGATGACTCCTAGGATTTTGAAGCAAGTTGGGTGGAAGGCAGCACTCTTACTGAGAGAAGGAGATAAAGAAGGAGCATGAACTGGGGGGAAAATCAACACTTCTCTGAGGGATTTCCCTGGTGGCCTAGTGATTAGGATTTGGGGCTGTCACTGCCACAAGGAATTAAAATCCCTGTGGAACTAAAAGCCACATGGGTGTGGCCTAAACAAAATACCAGTTCTATTATATCCATGTTTTGTATGCCACTTGAATATCCAAGAAAAAATGTCAGGCAGTGTGATTTTGGAATTCTGAAGAGAGTGCTGTGCTGTGATTGGTTAGTATAGGTCTTTGCAGTTATTGGGTTAGATGAGATCGTCTAGGAAGGGAGCACAGAAGAGGCTGAGATTATCCCCACCTCAGATAATCCCCACCTTTAGGGTTCTACAGCAGGAGAATGTGAAGAGAAAACAGACAAAATGTGGCAAATATTGGTGTCAAGGGAAGCTAAGTTTTGGGAATTTGTCTTGCAAAGTATAGTAAATTAACTGTTTAAATGCTGCTGAGAGGTCAAATAATTAGATGGACACTCAGATGGTAAAGAACCTGCCTACAATGTGGAGACCCAGGTTCAGTCCCTGGGTCGGGAAGATCCCCTGGAGAAGAGAATGGCTACCCACTCCTGTATTCTTGCCTGGAGAATTCCATGGACAGAGGAGGCTGGTGGTACAGTCCATAGGGTTGCAAAGAGTCAGACATGGCTGAGTGACTAACACACAGACCCTGAAATGTGTAATAGTTCAAACAATAGTTTTCCCCCCTCCTCATAAAAAAGTGGTGGTGGAGAGGTCGGTAGTCTGTCGCTCCCTCACTCACTCATTTAGGGACCTAGGTGAATGAGGGCCCTACCAGCTTCACGTTGTGGTTTGAAGATCACATTATAGTCATCTCCATTACTGCTAGCTGGAAGGGAAAGGTAACATGGAGGATCTTGAATGGAGATTTTTATGGGCCAGGTCTGGGAATGGTACACATCTCATATTCCATTGACTTCAGTCGCATGACCACTCCTAACTGCAATGGAAATTTCAGAAAATAATTAAGCCACACATAAGAGAAAAAAGGAGCCAGTTTATTGTGAATGTCCAGTAGCCTGCCACAGATGGCTCTGTATAGGTCATAGTGACTTTTGGGAAGAACTATTCCAATGAAGGGAGAAGGATGAAAGTCCAAGACAGAACAGGAAATTAACAATTTCTTCTTGGAGAAGGAAATGGCAACCCACTCCAGTATTCTTGCCTAGAGAATCCTGTGGACAGGGGAGCCTGGTGGGCTGCCATCTATGGGGTCGCACAGAGTCGGACACGACTGAAGCGACTTGGCACGCATGCATGCTATGAATGTGAACAGAGGAAGGGGGTAGAGGCTAGAGGGAGAGACGGAACATCAAGGGAGAATTTAAGAGTCTTGTTATCCGTGCAAACAGAATATGCTATTTTTAACATTTGAGGAATGGATTCTAGGTTTATACTATTATGATATAGCTGTGTTGGTGACTGACAGATCAAATATGGTATATATTGAACTTGACCAAGTAAGTGGTGTATTGTACTTTAGGTTTCCAAATCTATTTGTCTTAATCCCTTTTAAATGTGGCAATGAGGCACTGAATCAACTCCTAGGTTGAGAACTGAATTATGTTTTCTATGACAAATGTCCATCCTTCCATCAAAGAACAGGAACTGCAAAATGAGTCAGTCTATTTTCTTAATAGAATGACAATGCATTCATAGCTGCATGAGCCATACTATACTGAAAATAACCTTACTTTTTGTAGTCTGAAGATTTTATGGCCCTTCTATTCACTTGGTAACTCAATTGAAGTGATCACAAAATCTGATGATCATTCAGTGTCTCATGAGATCTAAGTGAGAGGTTTTTTAAAGTTTTCTTGCAAGAAACTGAAGCACATTGTTTTGGGATATCCAGATACATAGAGGATGATTGTTGCCAAGAGTTAAACAGATGACTGCCAAGGTGAGAAAGAATTGGGCTGCTCGAAGCTAAAATATATGAATTTACTGAAAAAGATTTCTGGGCCAGCTATGAGTTTCCTATCCTCCTGTATGTCTATTGTTTTATTGCAATATCATTCACACACATAAAATTTACCCCTTTAAAGTGTACAATTCAGTGGTTTTTCATAGATCTGCTATCAAGGACACTCTCCTAACTGGATCAAGGAATTAATTACAGAGACCAAATACCGTTATAAAATGGTTTTTATGATTTAATGTGAAAATAAGAGTTTAAGGCATCCTCATACCTTACCTTGCAGAGTATGTCCATACCTTGCAGAGGTATGGAATGAGGAAAAACCCTGTTTTGTGTGTGTGACTTAAGCATCTACATGATTCTGACTTGCCAGTTTTGCCTAATCATGGATTGAGTTAGTCTGTGCCTTAAACATAGCATTCCTAACTGCACCCTGCTTGGCTGTCTGTCATATGCCAGTATTGCTCATGTCTTTTAGTTCCCCAACCGTCTTAGCCACTTTCCTGTTATTTCATTCCTTCCCCCTCTTCCCCTTTCGTTATCTCCAAAATATTTCCCTCACTTTCAGTGCCCAGGCTGTCCTCCCAACGTCAGTTCTGTCGTCACTTACCTGCCTTCACCTTGCCTCGCCTACTTATCACCTCCTATACTGTCACTCTCATCTACCTGTCCCACACTGGCCCCACTGCCCAGACCGGAAAGGAAGCGCCGAATCGCTCTCAAGCCCGAACCTTCCCCGGCGAGGCTCAGCGGAGGAGCTTGAAGAACGCTTCATCGCGCTGTTTTCACGGCTTCCCCCTTCCATTTTCACACGATCCTACAAAACCACCACCCCTTTTAGCCTCTCCGTGAGCACCAGAATCGCTTGTTGCCTCCAGTCTAGAGGAGAGATCTCCCAGCGAAGGAAAGAAGAAAAGGTGCTCTCTTAGTTGAGAACGTAGGTGTATGCTGATACTAGCGTCTGCGCATCAGAGATTAGATACAGAGCCGAGCCCCAGGTGAACTGGCTGGATGGGTGATGCTAAGCCAATCAGAGAGCTTGACGACAGAGCTCAACCAATCAGAACACGGGCGGCTTGGCGCACTCGGGGGCGGGCCTGGGCGGATGAGGATCCGCCCCCTTGCAGCTTGGTGGCCAACGCCTTCGCTTAGGGCTAGCCAGAGCTGAGCAGTTTCACTGACTACAAGGACCAGGCATCTTAAGAGCTGCGGGGCGGTGCCCTCTAACCCTTGCTAATTTCCCTACAGGCCTTGGCCAACAGCTGCTGGTGTCTGCCGTGGACGCATTTAGACCCCGGCCGTATCTCTCTCTGGAGACTTTGTGCCTATGCTTGGGGACAGAGCGAGGTCGTTGCCTTGACGACGACAGCATGCGGCCCGCAGTCCTCTTGAGTGTGAGCTTGCGGCGGGTTGAGGCCAATCAGCCTACCTGCCTGCTTCACCTGAAACCCGTGACTGTGTCCGCGGAAGAAATAAAGACAAAAGTGGAATTGCTAGTTTGCTAGTCAGCATCTTTTAGACCTGCGAAGGAGATGCTCTTCACCTCAATTTTATCTCCAAGTTGAAAACCTTTGGACTTTCCACGCGGAAAGATTTAAAAGAAACAGTAAGTATAATAGTTTTTAAAGCTTCTGTTATCTCGTTCTTTTTTGTGTGTCTTTAACACAATAAAAACAGCATTATTTTTATTGTCTAAATTATTGGTAGAAGAACCCTATGCTTCCTTGGCATATGTCCAGAACTACCGCATTGCCAATTGGTCAGATTTCCTTTTAGTTTGTATCACCCTTTATATTCACAAGTAGAAGGCATGAGAAGTTACGGTTTATGAGTAACTGTTTCAGGAAACAAGCTGCTTTTTCAGCCTTGATACTTTTAAGGTATTTGTGGGCAGTGCCACTTGAAAAAGCAAGTGTGTTCAATGTACCGTAACCCAATATGCAGTTGGTTGGAAAATACATTTGGAGTAGTTAACTTGCAGAATGTTAGCTAGTGACATGCTTAAAGTAATTTTAATTTTGTTCACTTTGCATTTCCAAATATTGAGGACACCAATTACAAATGTTTTTTAAAAATGATTCAAGTTATAGATTCCAGCTATTTTTGCCCTTGATATAATAAGCCTAAAGTCTAGTCCTTAATAAAATATGCTGTCTTAGTGGAAGGAAAAAAAATTAAAGAAAGGAGAGAGAGAATTATACTGATATTTTTTCCAATGCTGACATTTTATTTAAAAATAGTTAATAGAAGTTAAATGGAAGTTAAAATGTCAAATGTATGGCAAGTTAGTGTCAGGGAGAGTTTATGGGAGAGCCTCCTATCAGAGTTGGTAGTAAAATAATGACATAATTGGGTTGATGTTGACTGGGATTTATTTTTTCTCCTTTCAAAGACCAATCTTCTGATTTTCCATGTTTATCAACATATATATATATATTCACTTTAATCTCTCTATTAACTATTTTAAAATAAAATGTCAGTGTTTGGAAAACATTATCAATGTAATTCTCTCTCTCTTCTTTCCTTAATTTTTTTCCCTACCACTAAGACAGCATATGTTACTAAGGACTAGACTTTAAGCTTATCATACCAATGACAAAAATAGCTTGTGTATATATATCTATATCTATCTATATATGTATATCCTAAATTGTCAAATGTAAACTGATGAAAATGTATACATTGGGTTTTCACAGTTTGCTAGAACAAAGAGGATATTTGTTTTGTCTTAGTCATTAGTGTACCAATAGGGAAGAAAGGAAAATATCACAGTTCACAGTCTGGGTAAATTAATTTTAGATTGCCATAAGTACACAACTAATGTTATAGGTAAGAATTTGTTTCTTTCCAAGTTTTATGAATGAGTGTTTCTATATTGTCAGGTTAAAAATTTTCAATTATGAATCCTCATTTGAATATATATTTTGTTGTAGTTTAGTAGCTAAGTTTTGTCTGACTCTTTTGTGACCCCATGCACTGTAGCCCAACAGGTTCCTCTGTCCATGGGATTTTCTTTTTCAGGCAAGAATCTGGAGTGGGTTGCCATTTCCTTCTCCAGGGGATCTTCCCAACCCAGGGATTGAACTTGTGTCTCCTGCACTGGCAGGCAATTCTTTATTTCTCAGCCACCAGGGAAGCCGGAATATATTACCAAAAGACTTTTTTTTCCTTCCAAAACTTTTAGAATCACATTGGAATTAAGAGCAATATTTTTTATTTTTTGCTTCTGGAATTTAATTTCAAAAACAGATTATAAAAATAAATTTAACTTTGAGGTTGTAGTTTATTAGTTTTTATATCTCTTGACAATCAAAACTTATGAATTAAAACCTAACTGTATCTGGACTGAAAAGTTTCTTTCTATTCCAAAATATCAAGTGGAATGGTTGCTAGTTCTTCACCAATCATTGGTAAAGTAAGACAGATTTTGTTAGGATTGCCTTTTTACAGAAAATGTCATATAATGTGATGTAAAATAATTCTAAACACAAAATTCAAATAATCATACTTCTAGTGATCAATCATTAAAAGGATTTTTGAAATACAATTTTTGGAACATTAACATTTAATTTTCAAAAATCTGCTTACATATTGTGTGACTGCTGTTATTTAGTATGTTCAATGTAAGAATTTAATTACTATGGTAAGAAAAGTAAAAAGAAAAAATAGTTTATCAAAAGTTGTTAGTTTTAACTTGGTAATATTTTCCACGACTGATTACAAAGAATATAAAGATCTTCAATTTTGATCTTTTAAACCTGATGTAAAAAAATTAATTTTATCTTCACTAAAACCAGATTCACTTGGTTTTCACCTTTGAGTGAAAATTGTGTTTTTCTAAGGTAAACTGCAATTGTTTTGTATAATAGTTCAAGCATTGCTTTATCTGCATTAAAATGATATTTAATTAACATGACATTCAGTTATTTAAATTTGAAGTTAATGGCTTCAGTTCCACTTGCCTTGTCTATTATGAAATGCATGTAAATATTTTGAAAGCATAGCTTAGATGGAAATAAATACACAGGACAGCCATTAATGCAGTATCTGTCCTAATATGGAAAACAGGTGGGGAAGAATTAATTTGGGAGGGTAGAGGAATTCATACATTCAACATAATTAATGCCATATTTCGGTTCCCACAGAGAGAAAAATTCCTAGTGGTTTTGAATTAAAATGGAAAAATATGAGAACCTAGGATTGGTTGGAGAAGGGAGCTATGGAATGGTGATGAAGTGTAGGAATAAAGATAGTGGAAGAATTGTGGCCATCAAGAAGTTCTTAGAAAGTGATGATGACAAAATGGTTAAAAAAATCGCCATGCGAGAAATCAAGTTACTAAAGGTGAGTAAACACATATATTGAATTGAAAAAAAAATGAGTTGTTTCCTGGTCAACAGTTTTAGAAAGTGCTTTTTTTAATATTTGTTTTATTTCCATAAGTAAGTTTAAAATATAGATGTTTTTTCTCTTTTGGTAATAAACGGAAGGATTACATCTGAGTATTCATTTATCTGTGAATATAAACATAATTTGTTATTATTTATTTATTTATTTGGATGCTCCAGGTCTTTCTTAGTTACTGCAAGCAGGCAGGATCTTTAGTTGTGGCATGTGGGATCTAGTTCCCTGGCCAGGGATCAAACCCAGGGCTCCAACACATTGGCAGCCCAGAGTCTTAGTCCCTGGACCACCAGAGAAGTCCCAAAACATAATTTTAAAAGTATCTGTTGCCCCTCTCTCTATCTGTCTGCCTATCTATTTACCAACAACTCTGTTGAGAGTCTTAAAGACCACCCCAAGCTTCAGTGATTCACTTGGAGGACTCATAGCACTCAGCAAATAGTTTTACTCTTGGCTATGACTTGTTAAAGTGAAAAGATATACAGTAAAATCAGCAAAGGGAAAAGGCACATGGGGTGAATTCCAGAGAAAATCTGTCGCTTTTCTCCCAGTGGATTAACACAGGATGCACTAATTTCCTCCAGCAATGAGTTATGACACTATGTGTGAAAAACTGTTTAGTAAGGAAATTCATTAGAGACTCAGTGCCCAGAGTTTTTTAACGGGGCTTGTCATAGAGGTACTGCCTGCTTTGCTTGCACCAAAATTCCAGACTCTTAGTAGAACTGCAGGTATTCAACATACACCATATTGTTTGCACCATGAGTCACTTTATCAGTTCTAGAAATGAAGGAACACTTCTGAAATCCAAGTACCTAGCTATAAGCCAAGGGGTCACTTTGCAAGCCAACTTTCTAAGGATAAAAATCTCAGACCTGCAATGTTAACTCCCTCCGCCACCATACCCCATCAATCTAACTGGAAGTTTATCCATTTTATTTATCTTTAGAAAGAACTAGTGTTTGACTTTGTTGTGTTGGTCTTTCTTGTTGTGTATTTCTTTTCTATTTCGTTAATTTTTGTTCTTTAGTATTTTATACCTTCTACTTATTGTGGGTGGGTTATTTTAGAGTTCTTTTCCCTAATCTTTTGAGTTATATGCTTAACTTCTTTTATTTCTAGGTTTTTTTCTCCCTCATATATGCATTTAAAGCTGTCACTTTCCTTCTAAGAATAGCTTTGTATGTGTCCTAGAAATTTTGATGAGCAGTGCAAAATGTTTTCTCATTTTCTTTCATTTCCAAACATGTGGAAAATTTCTAGGTTTTTCTCCCTTGGTTGTTTAGTTTTGATGCAATTGCCCTGTGATCTGAATATGTACTATGTAAGATTCTTATTCCTTTGATAAATACCTAATATTTGTCTTTTCCATTATTTATCACTTATTCCTACATTTCTGAGCTTCCATCTGGGATCATTTTCCTTGTACTTAAATCACATCCTTTTATTTTCTTTAAAGCAGATCTGCTAGTAAGGAATGTTGTCTGTTTGTCTTTCAAAAAAGTCTTTGCTTTCTGTTTAAGAGAGTGTTTTCACAGGATACAGAACTCTACGTTGGCAATTAGTTACCTCTGATATGTTCAAGATAACATTACACTGTTCTGCTGGCTTTCATTTGCATTGCTTCTATTGAAAGGTCAGACATTCCTTAGTGGGTCTTTTTTTTTTCTTTTTCTGGGTGCATTGAAGCTTTCTCTTTGACTTTGGCTTTCAACACTTTTACAATAATATGCCTAGGTGTGAGTTTCTTTATATTTATCTTGCTTGGATTTTATGGCCCTTGCATCTATAAAATAATGTCATTTGTCACTTCTAGAAAATGCTCACCTATTACTGTTTCATGTATTGCTACGGTCCCATTCTTTCTCTTCTCCATTTAAGATTTCAGTTTCATATATGACACCTTCCTCATATGTGTCTTATATTCTTTTGTGTTTTTCATCCTTTTGTTTTCCATTGCTTCATTCTATAGATTTTCTTCTGACCTGTCCTCCAGTTCAGTAGTTCTTTTTTAAAATTCTATTTGTTTCTGACTGTGTTGGGTCTTCATTGCTGCGTGGGCTTTTCTCTAGTGAGGCATGGGCTCTAGGGCACTCAGGTTTCGGTAGTTGTGGCATGTGGATTCAAAGAGTTGCAGCTCGCAGGCTCTAGAGCACAGACTCAGCAGTTGTGGTACACAGGCTTAGATGCTGCGAAGCATGT